TACTGAACATAAGCGATAATGGATCTCTGGATCGCCACTTTAAACATATTGAACCTTAGCGATAATGGATCACCGGATTGCTACTTCAAATATACTGAAACTTAGCGATAATGGATCCCTGGGTCGCTACTTCAAACATACTAAACATAAGCGATAATGGATCACTGGATCGCTACTTTAAACATACTGAACCTTAGCAAAGCATGTGGCTGTGTCTAAACCTCAGACAATATCTGTCTAGCGGTATGAGCGTTACTAGGTTAAAATCGATATCGTCATTCAACATCTTTGTATTTTCAGTCATGATTTCCAATTATATATAAGTTTAAATATGTTTTTATCTATCTTCTAAGAAATAGATTAATAGCCAGAGAAGTAAAGAAAATAGGGGGTGATTGACACAGAAAGAAGGGAAAGTAGAGAGGGAAAGGTGATAAATTAACTTACTACGAAAGAATAATAAAGATCTGTCGAGACCATATCAAGGCTGATGAGTGTTTCTCATCAATGCTTCTTCTACCATATTAACCTTAGGTGAACAAATATAAAAAATACCGATCTCTAGAGAATAGATGATTTCTTTCTAAATGTCTGTTAGGCAAAATTTGTCTGCGTAGAGATGGTAAAAAATAAGAAAAAAAAGATAGATTTTACCCTGGAATGATTCCTTTTTTTTTCACAACGTCTTATAAATAGACTAATAATGCCAAACATAATATATTTGACTGTCTTTCACTTGTCATTCATCCGAAACCCCCAGGGAAATAAGCCGGGTACTAGACTCTTTTAAGTAGTAACCAATCATAAAGGTATTTCATTTGTTATTTATCAGCGGCATTCATCTTGAATTAAGAGACAGAACAGCTAACCACACAATGGTTTGTCACTTTGACAGAACGTCAACGAGACGACAACAGAAAGAGATATTTTATTTAAACCCGTATGATGGAGAGTAACACCTAGATCAGTCGTCTGTTCTGCAAAATGGCCAATGAAAACACCCTTCAGAATGAACAATCATGCGCATTATACTACGATGGTCATGCTTTGGTATACGCCTTTGCTGAAGTAATTGGGACCAACACTTCATTGTTCATTTTAATAGCCTCGAGTTAATCATAGAATGAGACATATGCCACGAACATCCTACTACGAAGTACGCCATTTGAATTCGTTCAAAGGGGCTCATTCAAACCTACTTACCAGAATGGTGTTTTTACACCAGGAATCGAATGTTTCTAATGTGGTTACATTACAATAACGCATACAACGTTGTTCAGCAGAATGACTTTTACTAGACTAGAAAATGAATCATAAGATAATTTGAATAGATATCTAATAAATTAAATAAGGCAACTCGATTCATTTGTGTCCATTGGACCAACCTGCGTTTGCTAGAAGACGCAGTCGAAAAATATAGAATTAAACGTGTCATGTAAATTACAGCACAAACCTTATAATTTGAAGTATGCCAAATACTGGAAATGATTGATATCCCTATACATTCTGACAAACACACTGATGCACACTAATAATAAAATGTATGACAAGAATTTGTGGAAGAACGGTATATGTATATTTGTATTCGTTTATGTACGTATTTAAAATATGTGTATATGTATATATATATGTTTGTTCATATACACATTTATACAGACATACGCATATTATTATTATTATTATTATTATTATTATTATTATTATTATTATTATTCGTGATCTATTGTTTGCTAATAACGCTGCAATCGTGGCCACCTCTATGGAAGTAGCTCAAGCACTTGTCAATCGTATTTTTACCACTTGTAACACATTCGAACTAACTATAAGCATAAAGAAAACTGAAGTTGTCCATCAACGAAGAACTTCACCTAAGAAGGTCAAGGGTGTAAAACAAAAACCACCTGCCCATGCCGTTCCCAATCATTTACATTACTGCTGGCAACAACAACAACAACCTGAAGTTCGTAAAATCGTTCACGCAAACAAAGTCAATTCAAATGCCTCTTTGGATGACGATATCGTTAACCGAATATCAAAGACAACCAATGTCTTTGGGAAGCTTAAATATTGCCTATGGGATGTTCATGGGATTTCCCTGAAAACGAAAATCAGTATATATCGAGCAGTCTTTTTTATGGGTCAGAATCGTGGATGCCATACAGGACACATCAAACAACTTGATGCTTTTCATACACACTCTCTTCGTTCAATATGCGGTTATACTTGGTAGGAGAAAATCTCTAACCCTGAACTTTTCATCAAATGCGGTGTCGGTGGTATCGAATCCTTTCTGATCTAATCCCATTTCAGATGGGCGGGTCATGTGATCAGAATGAGTGATGATCGGATGCCGAAAATCCTCATGTATTTCCAACTATTTTTATGGTAAGCGTAATGTAGACCGACCTTGGTTACGCTGCAACGACAAACTTACATACAGCTTAAATGCTGCAAATATCCCTATAGAAGAGTTTTGAACTCGCTGTTGAGGTATAAATAACTTTGAAAAGAATCGTCTCAACCATCTGAGAAAATTAAGAACCAACACTCAATCTTAGGCCAATACATCAGCTCATATGATGGTCAACACATCATGTCACTCGTGTGGGCTTGTTTCAAATTCCGTGCAAGAATATACGAAACATAAAACATAAAAACATAAAAAGTGAACTGAAAAACAAACATATATATATATATATATATATATATATATATATATATATATATATATATATATATATATATTGACATTCCTACTTCGACATCTTCTTTGAATTAAAACTCACTTAACTCAGAGAAGTTAAGTTGTATAGTGAACTTTCTCTCACTAAGTGGCAAGCTAAAAGCATTCAGGCGAGAGCCGTGTACTCTAAAAGGATTGACCTCTAGTAACAATCTCGTGTGGATGCTAAAAATAAATATTCAGGTGGAGTTGCCTGACTTCAAATTCAAAATTGCTTGGGAAAGAAAAGCGGCAAGGACCAACGAATCTCGATGAGTTCTGACCATCCCTGAAATCTGACCAACCCTGAAATTTGACCATCTATGAAATCATGATGCGAAGGGGATCCAGTAAAGTGAAGAGAACGGATGGTACCCCCAACTCCAACAAACTTCCGGTTAAGAGAACACTTATGTGACCAAATGGGCCTCCTCAAAATTCAGTAGTGTCAATGATGATGAAGGTCATTTCAAAATGGAAAGAAATCTACCTTATGCAAAAGAAGCACATAAGGTGAAATTCCCACTGCTCATTGTTGAATATTGTCAACGCAAAATGAGGTAAAGAACTCAACGATAGAACTTTTTTTGCGTGTGAAGAGAAAAGAAAAGCCAAAACCCTGAAAATATAAAAGATATTTCCACGAAAATAAAACTTTAGAAAAAAGAAGGAAAAAAGAAAAAAATGAGAAAGGGGAAGATATAACGAGAGGAAATAATAATATATATATATATATATATATATATATATATATATATATATATATATAGAGAGAGAGAGAGAGAGAGAGAGAGAGAGAAGAGAGAAAATATATAGAAAAATGAAAAAGATAAGTGTTTTTTGTACTCATATAACACACGCCGAATATATTTTTTACATTCAGATATTCTTTGTTTTAATTAGTTTATGTGCAATTAAAATGTCGTTATATTTTACTGTTCTGTACTGTTTGTGGTTTGTAGTTTGTAGTTTGTGGTTTATCTCTTTTGCTTTTCTTATCCTGGTTATATCATTTTACGAACTAGGGCACCTCGACCTGGTGTAATGGTTAGATAGCTTATCTTGCTAGATCAATTACGCCTGTCTAGTGTGTTCAATCCCCACTGGGTGCTCCATATTTCTGGCCTTGTGCCACATCTAAGTCGGGCTTATTATTTTACGAACTTTAGAACGGCTCATGATCAGATGTGATAGACATTCATTGTCTCTTATATTTAAGAATGTGTTTATATATATATATATATATATATATATATATATATATATATATATATATATATATATATATATATATATATATAACATAACACACGGCCTGACGCATGAAATAGTCTATCGCCTCTGGAAGATGGCTTTGATGTCTGTATAGCATCTATCCCTGATACTGACCACTTTAACCCATTAATACTGAAAATCTTAAACCTATATTTTATCATATATATATATATAATTAAATCATGACGTCGGTTTGTAGTATAGAAATACAGTTTATTCTTTGTAATAGTCGAAGTAGCTGCCAACTAACTGCAGGGTGTTTGGGCTGGTCTTCGTCACAAGATAAAAAGACAACATTCATAAACTCACTTTCAATTACTTGTCCAAGATTTAGCAACATTTGTGACTCACGTTGTTAGTTGTAGCAGACACCATTGCTATATGCAGTTTATGTAAACACACGCACACACACACACACACATATATATATATATATATATAGTTTTTAAATAAGAATAAACCTTGCATTGTGTCTGTCACTTTCACAATTAATTCAGATCTTCAGACCTAATGACCAAACGGTATAGGTTTATAAGCGGTCTCCGATACTGAGTAGAATTTCCTACAAATACAGCATATTTTAAACAATATCTATCTATTTATCTACCTATCTATCTATCTATCTATCTATCTATCTATACAGAAATCCGTGGGTAAGTAATCCAAGTAGATCCTATTAATATAAAATATTAAAACTGATCCACAAAGAGAGCTCAATATAATTTTTATTATAGAGCATATAAGTGAATTACAATTAATGAGATCCAAACAATTTAACTCATACAGATGATCATTTCGTAAATGGGAAAGTAGTTTTTTTCCCTGGATTTATTAATGCAAGTACATTTACTAAAATAAATAAAACCTTTCTTCACAGGAAATTTGAAAGGCAAAGGAAACAAAGAATGAAAAAAGAAAAAGGAATGAATAAAAGGAGAGGGAGTAAGAATTGGCCTAAAATAGAAGAAGAAGTTATATATAGATATATAGAGGGTTAAGGGACCTAAGGTGGTTGTGGTGGAGCCGGGTACAGATCAACATGCCGTTTGAAAATGGACACTGACATAATTGTAACATGTAATACCTGTGTAATGAAGAAGAATGAACAAAAAAAGCTATGAATCATTTCAGAGCTAAAAAATTACAGAATGGGAGCAAGAATTTAAAATTATTATTCTTTTAAAAAAACATGTTAATATTAATCCATTCAATACTACATCTTTAATTATAAAGTAAGAGTTACAGTAAAGAAAAAATAAGTAAATTATTAGTATATTAATTTCATCTAATTATAACCAATCTGATTATATCAATATAATATTAATACGTTTTCAAATAATAAGTTTATAATTTAAATTATATCATACTTATACTAATTATTTTAAAATTCTGTAAAGGAAAACTTTGTATCAATGCCCATTTTCAACAGTCGCGTTTATCTGTACTCGGCTCCACCACAACTACATTAGGCCCCTTAAGCCTCTATATCTATATAACTCCCTCCTGTATTATAGGCCAATTCTTACCCCATCTTTTTTTTATTCTTTCCTTTTTCCTTTTTCATTCTTTCCTTCCTTTGCCTGTCAAATTTCCTGTGAAGTAACGAGGGATTTTATTCACTTTAGCAAATGTATTTGCATTGATTAGTCCAGGGATAAAATACTTTCCCACGGACAAAATAAACATCTGCATGAGGTAATTCGTTTGGATTTGGATCTTATATATATATTTATATATATATATATATATATATATATATATATATATATATATATTAATGCTTGAACGTAATATATTAGGACATATGCGTTGTATTCTCTCTCTTTTATTTATATATGCTTGTCAATGGGACGTTATTGGTGACATTGTTATTTATATCCTGTTTATTGTGATATTCCAATGTCTGTTTAGGCAGATATGATTATTTTAACTTATTCTATAGCTATTGTATAGAAATAGGTATGGACCAGAATGCCTTTCTTTTATATTTATTGTTTTGGGATGTTTGTTGACATTAAATCATTATTTATTGTTAATTACTTTAGAGTATTTTGTATTTATTATTAAATTTACTTAGTTGTTAATTCGTACAATTTGTTTATTATTTATTTCCTTAATTTGTTTTGTTATTTTATTATCTATTTATTTTGTCAAGTGGTTATCTTACTTGTTCATTTTGTTTAAGGTACTATACTTAAGTATAGTACCTCATCTGCATTGTATAGAATGAATATATTTGCATTTTGGGGTGATATTTTACAAGATATTCGTTTTTAATTTTTGGTTTTTCAGTAACGCAGTAAAATTTGTTTTTTATATTTATATTTTGAGATTAGTTCTGATCCTTTATTTATGGGAAATTGATTATATCTATTTTCCTCTCCAGACATAATTTCTAGTTTTTAGTCATATTATTGTAGGCTAGTGCTGCTTTCTTTATTTTTCAAAATATTTTCGGATATTTTTTTAAGTTGCCATCTGTGTTTATAAAGAGTTGTGCTGGTGTTAAAAGGATTCTTTTAACAATAGTAATTCAGATTTAATTGTAGTTTAGAAATTTAGAGACTAGTTACAATTGTTTCTAGATTTGCAAATAATGAGAATACAAAATTTATAAAAATTAAAATTTATAAAAATTAAATAACTAAATATAAGAAATCAAAAAAAGAATATGAAAAAATTAATTGAATCTATCATAATTGTGAAAAGGCATTTCAGATTAAACCGCTAGTGATCGAACAGTTTTATTGATTTCTATTGATGACATATAGAAAAGAGGAACTATATGAATATTCACTTCCCCCAAAATAGTTTTATATTAGTGGTTGGCAATTTGTTTTAGAGTTCAGTTAAGTCAATGAGTTGGATATTGAGGCTATATCATGATGTTACGGAACCGTTGTTGTAGAATTTAAGAATTTTGTCTTTTAAATATCTATTTTAAATGTTACGTGTATGCTAAAGGAAGAATCTGAGAAAAGACTTCCTCCATAATTACAATGTTGGCAATAGTCGTTTTTACTTGTATCAGTAGAAAATGAAAGACTGGTTTACCTTATCATCTCGATAACACTTGAAACAATCGGCGACTTTTCATCTACAACAGAATCGTATATATACAGAGAGAAGAAAGAGAGAGAGAGAGAGGCCAGAGAGAGAGAGAGAGAGAAGGAGAGAGAGAGAGAGAGATAGAGAGGAGAGAGAAGAAGAAAGAGAGTGAGGTAGATGTCCTAAATATGAGTTATTAGCTGACACGGAATCAAGCCTCGAGCTCTGTCTATGCAACAAATAAGAACTTTCCAGGAATAGAATTTTTTTTTTTTTATATTTCTTCTGCTCTTTCGTGCCAATTTGGATGTAGTCAAAGCCCCGCGGTTCTTTCTTGCAAAATGACAATAATTGCATCATCATTTTACAACTTCTTTGCCCTCGGTAAAAATGCGGGTGTAAGTGTAGATTTTTAGGTTTGTGAACTTCTATAAATTCACTTTGCAAAAAAGTATTTTCTGCAACAGCCAAAAAATAAGTGAAAATGCCTTTTCTTTCTATGGATTGAATTCCACTTAAACATGCTTTGATGTCTAGACTTTGGCAATAATGAGAATTCTTAGACTGACCGCAAAGGAAATAAGTATTTTCATTCTGCTCTACCGTCAGTGTTATTTATTTTTGTTTCTACTTTGTATCGTTAACCATACTTTACCCGTTGAAGTCAGAACTTGTAGCATTTACAGATATTTTTCAATAATTGTGATGTGTATGCAAACAGATTTTTGTCAAGGAGAACCTGTATGTTAGTGTGCTTACATCTTTCTAACTTCCTCCCTCTATCTAGCTATTTATTTGTCTTTTACAATTAAATTTATAGTCACGTGGCCGATTGGTTAGAATGTTTGCATTCTGACCATGAGACTCGGGTTCAAATCACACCATAGTCGATTTGTCGGGTAGGAAACTTCCTGATATTATTGAACTGGAGGTGGGGTCGATCACAGCGTGCCGAACCATTAGAAAGTATCTGAAAACCATACCACGGGTTGACCCAAGCTTTGAGGGCTGTCGATAATTGTGCTAAGACGAGGTCACAAGTCATCGTGGCCGAGGGCTTGAGTGTGCTGGCGTTCTTCAAATAGTTGATCCCGCTAGATAACACGCTCTTTCCCAGAAACTGTAACTAAGGTCTGCTCAGCATAGTTGCAGTATAAACCATATGTGGGCTCTTTGGGTTTTTGAATAAATACAAATGCACATGAGCAAGCGTCTGCAATAGGGATTGGATTGCCGCCTTAGTATCCTCGAATACAAGTGGCCAGCTTATGTATACAATTAAATTTAGGGGGAATATTTTTAAAGTCTCTTATGTTTTTAAGTCAATAATTATATTATTCGCAAACTATTCTCTAACATTGTCACTTATTTTATAAGCTTAAAACTGACTAACATAATTTTAAAAATGTAATTAAAACCTATTGAACGTAATTCAAACTAACTTTTTCTATAAATATTCCCATGGTAATTATTCTGATGAGCTTTCCTCTCGACTCGACTTTAGTGGCTTTTTAGCCTTACTTGGGGTGATATGGTCGATAAAACATGTTATATTGTAGTTGACGATATAATTGATTCTTCATTTGTTTCGGATCATATATGCAAACTACAGTTATCTAGTTGGATAATGTTTACGCAAACGATGCAGACTACTAGTACTTTATGTATCACAACTCTTTACTACGCCAATGTTAAATGTAATTAGGAGAAATATTATATGCGAAATTGATATATCTAGTAGACTATTGATTATGCAAATTCTTTATGATACAAGTACCTGTATTTTAAGCAATTTTTATGTTTATACATTCTTTTTATAGATACAAATCTTTAGGTAAATGCTCTGTTTATAATTAACAGTATTAAACAACATTTACCCGCCTGAATGTCCGAGAAATTTTCATAGAAAATATTCGTCCTCCGACAGGAATCGAACCTGTATCCTATAGGGAACCGTCGTATAGCCTGACGTGACTTAACCGATTGAGCCACAGAGGATCGTTCGGTTAGCAAGGTCGATTTTACTGCTTTTAAACTACAATCTTCCATGAATCTGTCACGTACATTCATATCTGCTCAAAGTCTATCCAAATGTAAACAAATGACGTCACACATTATGGCCGGTAAATGCTATGAATACTGTTTATTATAAAGAGAGCATTTACTTAAATATTTGTATCTATAAAAAGAATGTATAAATATAAAAAAATGTCTAAAAATAATTGTCGGATTTGTCCATTTCATAAGTACCTGTATATAGCTAAACACTTGTATTATAATTGCTCTGATCACTTCTGTGGCAGTTGCAACCTGGAGGAGAACTTGCAAAGAGGGTATCGAACGGGGCATCGAACAGGAGTACTAGTTTCCTCATTGAGAAATGTGTCAAGAGGAAGACCAACAGCTTCACTCAGAACCCAATTTATTAATGCAATATGTGCAATAGGGCTTGCGGCTCTAGAATTGAACCTTCCTTTCAAGAAATGACTCATCGGTAATATGTCGATAGATTACTCATTCATTGGCTCACGACGAGAGAATCCATCATATTAGAGCAAGATCTAAAAAGTCAGCTAATCTAACAGTGATCTCATCTCACAATCCTCACTCTTGCTTCATATGTGGCCTACTTTGTAAATCACTAGCGGGTCTAAAGTGCCACTTAATATTATCGCACAAAATTTCATAACTGATCAGTTGGTTAATTTGTCAGATCCTCATACGTCGAAAACGACGGGAGAGTCCATTATTATTATTATTATTATTGTTATTATATATGAGGAAATGCTTCTAGCATAGAGTTCAATGCACATTTTCATTTAAAGCGAGAAATTTTCCTTTAAAACAAAACTGTCTTATTTAAAATGAGGTTGTATTATATTCATATATAAGCGACAGACTAAGGTCAATAAAATCAACAGTTATAAGAAAGTAATTAAAAAATAAAAGATTATCTTATTATGTTTTAAATGAAATTTTGTGAGCATAGAAATTATTAAGATAAGAAAATATTTAAAAATGTAATTTAGAGAAGAGAGAAAAAGTGTGGCAAAAGAGAAATGAAAGAAATGCATTAGCTAAAAGTTTTTTCCTTAACCGCTTATGATTGATTTGAAAATTGGAAAGAAAATTGATGATTACATTTTTAAATCTATTTTACTTCACATTATTCAATATACTATTCAGTATTCAAGAGATTATTCAATCCTTAGATAATCATCTTCAATATGGTTTCAGTACAGAATTTGAAAACTGTGTGGATGATGAGCGAGAAGGAAAGGATGATTAGTGAGGACGAATGAAATAGCAAAGAGTGAGAAAGAGAAGGAAATAAAGAGAGTAAAGAAGAAGAGATAGAATTTTGAGAGTGGAATAAAGAACCGGGGTCATTACTTTGAGCCAAAGAGAAAGAGACAATCCAGGCTGAGGAAACACAACTCTTTAACCGCTCCAAAGATGGTCAATGTGGTTTTATCTGAAGGGAATAAGAGGGAGAAAAAAGAAAAAGGAAAAAAAAGCAGGAAATTGTGTAAGAGGAATAAAAGACTATAATGAGGGGGGAAAAGAGAGAGAGAAAAAGTAAAGAATAGATAAAGTAGTGCGAGGGGAATAAAGAACGGTAGTGAGAGAAAGAGAGAGAGATAGAGAGAAGAATAAAGAAGAAGAAGAAGACGACGACGTGCTAATTAAAAATGAATTATAATTTTAATTAGCATGTCATACTTATATAGTATTCTTATAAAAGAATCTTACACAATATGAGAGAAAGCAATAATTATTGTTTTCACTCTTATTGAATCCAGATACCTTATAAGATTTTTTCTTACAGCAAAATGAAATGATATAAAAAAGTCTCAACAAAATTGTTATTTATTTATGGTAATGGTTGCTATTAGTACAACATGCTAATTTAAATAAAAATGGTATTGGCATCTCAAAAATGACTTCGATAGAATTAGCTAAATACTTGTTTACTCCTCTTAAAGAAGACATTATTTTCATAGGTTGCATTCTACGTCCTATTGAAAGATTATCATGTCAGATTACTAACGGACTACATGAAGTATTTTTTACCATAGTCTTTAGATGTTGATGAGAATCTCCTTGTTCTAAATTTATGAGCAAAAACAGAGATAATAACCAACGAAAATATTTTTGTATTCCATGTATTTCCACAGACAGTCAGGTTTTATTTAGATATAAGTTTTCGTCTTGGAATCAACACAGAAATCAATATGTATAAAAAATACTGTCTACTTATTTCGATTATTGTAAAACTTCTTTTAGTTAAACTATATTGATTTTACTTTTGTGTTTGCGTCGTTTATTTTGAAAGTTTTGCGAATGTTGATAGCAACGGTTATTAAGTTCTACAAAGGAAAGATTTCGTTTCTTAAACTTTGGTTCATTCTGATGTTATTTTTATTGCGAATTAAAATATATACGGATTCGAACTAAATTAAGGGAAAATAGAAAAGCTATGACTGAAAATTGAAACAAGCAAAGAAGGAAACTATGTGGCGAAACGTTATTTAAAGTGGTTGAAGGACGTTCGCTATGTGTCTGGAAGAAATTTAAACAAAATCGATAGAGAATTATTAGAGAATTAAAGAATTATCATTGAAGCTTGATGCCCTTTATTTTTTATGTCACTACAGACAAATTTCCTCATCCATCTAGTGCTGTAATAGAACGTTGATAAAAACAATCTTGTAAAGAGATTGGAATAAGAGAGGTTAGAAGAAATATTTAGACGATTCAGACCATAGTGGCATTTAGAACGATAAGAACATTGAAGAGCGTGAAATATATTTAAAAACAACATGCACTCACGCGATACCCACATAGATCACCAGACACTATTATAATGATAATGATTGTCATTATTAAAATGACGATGGCCGTAATAATTAAATATCAATCAAATATCAATAAAAAACAAGTTTAATCAGGAAGAGGCAAATTTTGCTATTTACTTTGAATACTACTTGTAGCAAAAGAGATTAAAAAAACTGCATTTTTGGGTAGCTTTCCAGGCACATAAATGGATTATCTTCCCAATTTGAGCCTTCAATGAACCATTTGATTTTTTGTTCAGTTCTTGCCTGACAGCGGGAGGATTTCTGTATGACATTGCTGGAGAATATAATTTAAATCTAAAATAAAATTCTATGAAAATAAACCCACTTATCTTTTAGAAACTTTTTAGAATAAGCAAACTGTTCATCTTATGAAGTATGAAATGTAAAAAAAAAGGAATGTCAAACGATAATGGCGATAAGATGAGGAATAAATCGTGGAAAATTCTCAAACGCAACAATTATCAGAACTCGGTTATTTTTTCGTACCCAGATCCTGTGATTTTGAAAGAATTGCTGACAAAATCAGTCCGAAATCGACAAAGTTTCCCATCACCTCAAAACATAAAACATAGAAGTATTTCTAAAATGGAGTCAAGTTAGTGTTTGATTATCAACTAAGATACGATTTTGGTTCTGTGATTCGTTTGCTGTTCATTCATCTCATTGTAAAAACATTTAAAATGAAAAAAATATTTATCTGTTTTATAACTGAATCCTTTTTATTTATGATCGTTTGATGATAATATAAATAAAGATTAAGAAGATAAGGAATTTTCTCTTGTTTAGAATCAAATAATCACTCTTATACATATGTCTTTGCAATTATCTGCACGTATGTAGTTGAAAATTAACTAGTGACACGTAATAGTTTTGTACACCACAAAAGTACCAATTTTTCTTTCACAGTATACTTAGTGGTTGTATTTGTATGTGTGTGTATATATATATATATATATATATATATATATATATATATATATTATGTTTATACGTTATTTTTAAAGATACAAATATTTAAGAAAATGCTCTGTTTATAATAACCAGTATTACCAACATTTACCGGCCTGAATGTGCGAGAAATTTTCATAAAAGAAATGCGTCCTCCGAGAGGAATTGAACCTATATCCTATACGGAACCGTCATAAAACCTCACGTGCCTTTACCGATTGGGCCCAGCGAGGAGCGTTCGGTTAGCATGGTCGACTTTACTGCATTTACACAGAATTCTCCATGATTTTCTCTCATACATTCATATCTGCTCAATGCGTATCCAAATGTAAACAAATGACGTCACACATTATGAAATGGATAAAGTCCGACAATTATCTTTTAAGACATTTTATATATATATATATATATATATATATATATATATATATATATATATATATATATATATATATATATATAACGTCATTCCTTGATATGGTAGAGTGCTTACTAGTGACCCCAAGGATGAAGTCCTGGAGTTCCAACGCCTGTAGGGCCACCCCTGGTAGTAACGTCGAAGCGAAAGAACCAACATGAACGCGACCAACCCCGAAAACATCCCCGGCTGAATCCACACGATCTCAATGACCTAACTGACGGATGATAGCAGCGCCAGTTTTGCTGACATAACTATGGCGGACCTTGATAGACGAAGCATCCAACAGCCCGATGCAACCAATTTTGCCAAAACTTGCCTGTGTCGATCTCTTTTGAACCGCGAGAGTGGCGCTTCTCACCAAGTGTGTGGGCTTCTCTATCGCGCAGTGTTGACCACTAAATCAAATTCACTGGCCTGGTGAAACTTTCTTTGATGCATAGCCATTTCCACCAACGCCAAAAGGAGAGAGAAAATGAATAGGGAGAGAGGATGACGATCCCGTTGACCTGGATGAGAATGGATGCTGACAAAAAAACAAAACAAAAAAAACAAAACAAAATGAATAGTAGCCGTATGTTTTTTATTATTCAATGCATGTTAATGAAACTCCAAAATATATTTTATGGTATGTCTGTTTATCTAAAATATAAAGTATTTAGCACTATTTATTTTGCAAGGACTCGTGTCTCATAAAATTCAGACGTGGAAAAACAATTATTCGGAATGCATTGTAAGAAAACTAAACATTCAACTATAGAATAGAATTCAAGACGTCTAAAATCACCCAAATAATACTTGAAATTTATTTACAAATCAAACTACGATGACTTATGGTTGCCGAATAACTAAATAATATCTGGAAAAAACGAACAAATTAATATCAACATTGTAATTTAATGTGAGAATTGTCAGTATAGAAATTCCACGCCATGTTAGAAAACGAAACGTTCTTCAGGTATTAGGTCGGTGCAAAATTTTCAACATTTATAGAAACTTATTTAAAAAGCGTTTTTTTATGTACAGTCTCCCGATGTTGCTCTTAACTTCTGTATGCCCGTCTAATAACTAAACTTAAACGGTATATATTGTAAACCTATGGCATTGACTCAAACAATGAAATATGAACGTAATGAGAAAGAAAAATTATCTCTATTTCATCTTCTTCCACACAGAAAATTAGATCATATTCATTTTAACGTTATTTCTTTCCTTACGGCTTTCTGATAAATGTTGTCGTGAACGCCACTCTCAAAAAAAATTTTAAAAAAGTTTTAAGATTGTAGTAAGGTAGTATAAACAAAAGAATGAGATATATTAAATCAACAGATATTTTATTAGTATTGTTTTAACGTCGACTTGTCGAAATGATTTCTAAGTAAACAATGCTGGAATGAATTGTATTACCTCAAAAAGTGAAAAAGAAAACCCCCCAAAACTATGAATTTTTGGGGGAATAACGTTTGAGACACTGATTTTCAAAGGGGTCAGATGCAGTGAGGCGAGGTGATCTCTCAAAGAGCCCGATAATCCCAAGAACGCCAACGTGATCAGCACAGCTATACTTGATAAGCACGAATGGAAAAGCGCCCTATTTTATATTATCACAGATCGCGGTGAAGAGAAGAACAGTTTCTCGGATATCATAGACTAGGATGTAAGAAACACGTTTGGGATGAGGTTTCTGATACTCTCTCTCTCTCTCTCCACACACACACACTGTCAGACAGAAATTGAATAAAAGGCGATGTTAAATATAAGGAACGATGTTTCGTCTTATGATTAATCAGCACTAGCATTTCATAACATATAGTAATTATTTAGGAGTAGCTTAGATGAGGCACAAGGCCAAAAGTCTTGCCACATATGGCCTGTGGCTCTTGTTATTTACCTTGAGCTCATTGATAAAATCCAAAGAAGAATCAGCAACATTTTTGGTCCTGATCTGGCATCTCAGCTTCATTCATTTTCCTACCGCTGCAATATTTGCATCTCTGCGTTTTCTTCTATAAATAATTTCAATGTAATTGTTCAGATGAACAATGCAATGTAAATCGCTATCTAATGTCATCATGATTACTCTTTTCTCTTCAAACTTATTATTAATGTTTCTGTTCCTAATTTTTCCACTCCCTGTCTTAGTGGCTTTATTGCCTTCCATGGCGTGATACGGATTACATATAATGATTACATATGTAATTAGAAGACTACGATGTAATTTGTTTAGCTTTATTCGGTTATTTATTTGTAAAACATATTTTGCATTTTATTTGATTCATTCAGGTAAAAAACGAGTCCCGACATTTTTTTTACAATATAAATAGATGATAATTTAAACAATGCTGTAGATTATTTAATGTTACGCCTCTATAATCTTACTGCTAGTCAGAGAACACTATTTTAAATAAGCATTGATTTAGTTAGAATTCTTTCAACAAACAACCTTACTGTTGTGTAAATGAAATATGCAAAAATCCTAATAGTAACACGTGATGAGAGGCTAAACTGACTTCACGGTACGAAATAGATGAATAAATAGTTAGTTGCTGTTGATGGAGCGTTTTATGATTTCTTCTTCTAATAGAGTTTGCGTATACATTTTCTCTATTTTTATTTACGATAGTTAAGTAGAAAGGCACAATTTGCCGATGACATTCAGGTTTAATTTGAACATTACTAAGAGTAAATGAGTGTTAATACTTTCATGCGTAAAAGTATTATTTCTTACCTAATTGAAGTTCTTCCATTGTTTGTTATTTAATATCGGCGTGAGGGTGAGTGGGTTGGGGGATTTTTCTTTTTCATGTCGAGACAAATAAAATATAAACAATAAATGATTTTGAAAAATA